GTAGATATGTGGGGGCGTGTTAGAACGAGCCGTTTTAGGGGGGTGTGGCAGAGTCCTAACTTTGATAAAGAATATCTCTTTGGTTTTGAGACTTTAGTCTTTGCAACTTCAGGGATCTTATCTATGCACAATCAGCTTGTAACACTCCAAAGAGAAAGGAAAACTTGAAATCGCATCATATGACCCCTTTAAGAAAACACCTTCATCAGTTTGACAGCACATGTGCTGCAAATGCTCACAACACAAAAAAATAATCTATAAAAAAAATAAAGAAACACGTTGCAAATACTTGCAACACAACCAAACAGACAAATGCGCAAGTAGCACAGACCACAACAAAATTACTCCAACAAAACAAAAATGAACCTTTTTTTTTTGTACAAATTCCAAATCTATAGTTAGTGTAGTAAATCCATGGTAAATTTGTGCATGGTTTAACTATAGTAACCAGCTTTTGTTTTTATTTATTTTTTACATATTAAATGAGACCTTGAACCTTTGACTGAATGGTTATTTGTGGAACCAAAAATGGTTCTTCTATGGCATCGCTGTGAAGAACCTTTTAAAGCACCTTTATTTTTAAAAGTGTAATTGTGTATTTCATCAGCTTATTTAGGCTAATAATATCCCCCCCAAAAACGAAGGAATCATATGATCAGGACGTTAAAATAAACAAAAATCTTATCTTTCAGAGCAAACATTGATAAATATGTCCCTTGTTCATCATTTTGCGGTTCCCAAACTTTTCCAATGTGGTCTGTGCCTATTTGCAGCGCGGTACTTTATTTGGTTGTGTTGTGAGCATTTGCAGTGCATGTGTTGTCAAATTGATGAAGATGTTTTCTTTAATTTGCAGTTTTTTTGTTTGTTTTTTTTTTGCAGGGCTTTGAGCTCTCTCGGCCACCGTAAATCGTAAATTTTTTATCACATGAATGTGTAAGCAACTTCATGAAATACAGAATCGCAACTAAGTAAAAATAAGTTTTCTTATGAGATTGGGTTGCTTGCTCTATGGTTATAGTTATATTTGTTGGTGTGCACCAACATATGCATTTACAAATGTGTATTTTAAATTCTTTTGCTTATGGCACCTACAATGCAGTGGATTCTTGGAGAAGTTCTCTGGAGAGGCCGGTGCCATATGAATTGATATCAATGGCAAGCACTAAACTTACAACCAGCAGAGGTAAACCTGCAAACAACAGTTCAAGAATTAACAAACACAAAACGTTTCCTTGATTTTCTTAGTTGTTATGCACAAATATTCTAGACACATTTAATTCAACTGAAACTACTCAGTATAACATTTGAAGAGAAAAAAAACATAAAACTGCTCGTCTCACCCCATCCAAATGCACAGAATTTGAGGATGTAAGATGGCACATATGAATTAAAGACCTTGACCAAGGCCAGGTACATGTTGATTGCACCCAGTCCCATCCAAGTAAAGGTAGCCAGGAAAAAGTAATGTTGAAAGGCTGCTACAGTAATACAGATGGCATTGCTGTTAAAAGAGGCAAGCCAGGAGTTCACAAGGAAGAGCATGTTCAACCCTAGCAAGGCTACGGAGAGGTTAATAAGGATCTTTGAAGGGTAGTCTCGCCTCAGTTTCCTGTGGTAAGAAAACACATGTAAAAAAGACAACATTTATTGACACTTCTGAAGATGCATCCTTTTGAGTTGCTCAAGGATGTCAACAAACCAAATGAGTCTCTAAGTCTGCATTGTAATTCTGGTTTAAGCGGTAGCATGCAAAGTGTCTATGAACTCACTCAAAGGCCAAATAGGTCAACAGTGTGACTCCAAGAAAGATGGAGGATATGCCACTGCCCAGGTATGAGATGATAGTAAGAATCCTTTCGTCTTTCGCACTTATTGGGGTTTTAGAGATATCCTGGAAGACAGATGGGTTCAGGGAAACATGCATAGTGGTTACAATAATCAAAATCGAGCATATTTTATGCAAATGCTGTGCACATTGACATCATTTGTTATCCATAAATTAACAACCTATGACCTTTAGTTTCCAAATGTTTTCATAAAAGCTTTACTGTTAATTAATATTTCCTTTGGTAAATATAAAGTTAGTTATAATTCATTGACCTTGCACTATTGCAAAGGCAAATTTAGTGAAATGAAAATGAGGTAAAACTTTATGTACATTATACATTTTTTTAATTGGCTGTCTACATTTTGGGCAGACAACCCAAACTCACCAGAAGAGCTCCAAAATGTGTGAGGTGATCACAGGAACAGGATGTATAAGTGGCATTAGACATCACTGTCTCACATCCTGTATCATTCCATCCACCTTTATCATCTATAAGACATTCAGTCAACAACTATCATGGGGATATTAACCAAAATGAAGTGCACTTTTACTG